CTCGTCTCATATCCAACTTTCACCTTATGCAAAACCATTGTTAGTGGGACTAAACAAACCACAAACAACAATGGAGAAAGACTATCTCCTTAAAATATTCCTCGATTGATTGGTACTTCTCCCAAAACAGTCCCCCCAGCATTCAGCTCACACTTCCACTGACTCATACTCTTCTCCAATAAGTTCCTCACGTTCTCAGCACATCCCATCATATTATTAATATTATTATTATTATTGTATTACTACCAACTGAGCAGGTTAATTAATAGTTAAAATTTTTATAATAATAGTTAATTACTAGTTATTAATGCCCATATTAGGGAGTACACTCTTGATGTTTATAAGATGACGTCAGTCGTATCACAAGTAATGAATAATTAATGAGACACACCCACTCAATTAATTAAACCTCTCCCCATACACTACAGCATGATGCTAAGAAGGCAGGGGCTGAAGTTGTGAAACAAGTCAAGTTCCCACTATTGAGTGGACTACTCTATCCTGGACTACAAGTGAGTTCATGTTATATACATGTACATGTACTTGTTAATAAATAAATTATTATAATAATTATAATAAATAATTATAAATAATTATTATAATAAATAATTATTATGATAATTATAATAATGATCATAATTGAGGTATTCTGGATTAGAATCAGATATCACTGTATTGTTTAATTAATTTTGTTTTTATTAATTGGCAGGCTCTTGATGAAGAGTATTTGAAGGTTGACGCTCAATTTGGAGGAGAAGATCAGAGGAAAATATTTACATTTGCAGAGAAAGTAATAATTAATAATAATAATAATAATAATAATAATAAAATAATAGTAATAATTTCTTTATTTTGAATCAGTACGGATACCAAGTAGTCTGAGTCTCAGTATCGATGGTATCGAGTAGTGAATGAGTAGTCAGCTACTGCGCATGTGCAATTAAGTTATTATTAGTTATTAATAAAAATGAAGTCAAATAAGCCGCCATTTTGTAATTATTAAAGGATGTGGCCATAATTATGACGGCAAAAATAGGTGTGGTGGGGCGTGGTTACTCACTACTCGATACCAGGATTTGGTATCGAGTACTTGGTATTGGAGGCCTGGTATCGGATATATGAGTACTTTGGTATCGTATCTAACCTACTACACTTTGTTTTTAAATTTACAATCCCCTTGAATGGGTCAACATAACGTGGCCTGTTTGAATCTATTAATATAAACAATTAAACATTTGAAACACTAAAAGCAAGGGGCTGGAGATAGTAGACAATCATGTAGTAGTAACAGTTAATTAAAGTTAATTAAAAGTAGTATCAACTGTTAACCACAATAAAGATAGAGAGGACGACCCACGATAGCCTTTTACGAATAACTGACTATAAAATGAGAGATTTGCAGGTGAAATGAATCTGATAGTTTTTTGTCTTACAAAATTTTTGAATGGGTTCACGTAACCCTGTCTTAAACTTTAAATATAAACAATAGTCAGGTGCAGCACTATCATTAGT